TAACACAGTTTGCAAATATTTTCCTTGTTTATCACTTGCTTTTTGGTAGACAACAATGCAGTGATTTCCTAAAAATACAAGCATGTCAGAAAAAATATAAAAAGTGGAAGTGCCTCCGCCGCCGGCTGCCGCGCGCGCGGAGGCGGCGCCGGCTGGTTTGCTTTGTGTCCCTTCGGGACCTACGTGCGCTCTTTTTCCTTAACCTAAAATGAGGTTCGGGGCGCGCGGCGCTTGTGGGTTTTCTCTGCTGCAAACTGTCTTCTCGGCGGCTTCGATCGGCCGTGACACCCGCCCCCCTGCAGGGCGACTGGGAGGCGGACCAGGCCGAGGCCGGGCCTCGCCCGACGTCCCTGTTCTCGCCGGACCGCTGGTTTCCTTTCCGTTCCGATGGTCGGTGCGGTCGCCACTTGGGTGCTTTAGCCTCAGTGTTTCCTTTGCGATCTGCCTGTTCATATTCTCTGTGTACGCTGAAAACATTCTTCTCAAATGGTCATTTTGTTCTGGTTTGGGCTTTTTAAAATGGATTACTTCAAGGTTTTAATGGTCAAATATTTACCTTTAAAGCTTTTCGGCTTTGTGTTGTTTTAACAGCTTTCTCCACTCCAAAATTATATTTACAGTAAACTCTTGTATTCCTCTGATACTTGTAAAATGTTGGAACCATCTGGAATTTGTTTTGGTGTGGAGCGACCTGGGAATCCAGCTTAATTGTCTCCTCTAAATCATGCTGTTTCTAAGTATGCTTATTGAATAATACATCTTTTCATTGATTCAGAAAACCGCTGCTATTGTGTATTAAATTCTTACATGTCTTTAGGCCCATTTGTGGATTTTGTGGCGGCTTTAATGTGCATAAAATTTTCATTTAATGCAGCAGATCCCCCCCTCCCAGGCTTTCTGTTTGGGGTATTTTGCTTAAAAAGGCCCTTTCTACTGAAATTAATGAAAATTTACCTGCATTTTTACTCAAGTTATTTTATGATATTATTCTAAAATTTTAACTCCTATCCATTAATTAGCCGAATCGATTAATTAGACTGCCGTATATGGTACGAGATAATCAATTTCTTTGCCCTATATTTTTGTTTTTTTGCCTTGACTCTACTTTCTGAGAGATTTGTTGAGCTTTGTGTAAAGATGGTTTTATTTTTCCCAAAGCAGTAAACACTTTGTACTGGAACCACTTACTGAATCATCTTCCCTGTGGGGGTTTGAATCCCAGACGGGGCCCCACACTGCGGCACTGAGCCCTTTCTCATCCAGGCCCATCTGGCTCTCACCTGGGCCTTGTGGATACAGTGGGCACAATTGACATCACATTTCTAAGTTTATGTTGAGCATGTTTCTTTGCTATTTGTGACTAGAATCTTTTTCCCATGTTTTCTGATTAGGGGTTGCAGTGTAAGGAAGCTAGCAGTTTGGATGTGCGTATTTGTGGTCACTTACTCTAGAAGGTTGCAGGTTGTACTTGGTGCTCACACTGGGCTCGGAGCTCCCTCTTCTGAAGGTGCTTCCATCCTGGAGGGCAGTCTCCATGGACATTCGGGGATAGGGCATTCCAGCAGGAAAACTTGGGGGTGAGGGGGATGAGGGTGGACAGAGGGAGATCTGAGAGCCGCCCAGACCAGGGACTCTGAGGGTGTCTGTCACAGCTTTTCACTGTGGGTGGTGTCTTTGGAAGGACAGGCATGCTCTCATCAAGATCATCAGAAAGCTGCTCTGTCTGTGGAGTTGCCACTCTCTGTCTCAGTGCTTCACTGATAAACTCACTTTCACTTTAAACTCTGGAAAGAAAAAAAAAAGAGGACCATCATGAATTCCAACAAGGATGTTGTGTTAAGTTCCTAAAGCTTAGCTTACAAAACAAAATACAGTGGTACCTTAGTTTTTAAATGTCTCCGTTGACAAACATTTTGGTTTACCAATGCCGTAAACCCGGAAGGAAATGCTCCGGTTTTGGAACACGCCTCGGAAGTTGCACATGCACACGGCTTCCGCTGAGGCCACGATCCTGAGGCCCAGCTGTCAGCTGTGGACCCCTCAGTTTTCGAACATTTCAGAACGTGGTATTCCGGAACGGATCACATTTGAAACTGAGGTACCACAGTAAAAGTTAAATTCTAAGCTCTTTCGCTTCCTGCAGTCCCTTTTTTATTTGTCCTTCAAAAGACTCCCATTAGACTTCTAATTAGAGCTGCATTGCACTTACACAAATTTGGGTGTAATGGGCATTTTGGAGAACACGGGCAGCCGCGGTGTGCATCTTCTGGAAAGGTTCCTGGAAAGACATGTGTTCACATCCGATGTTTTAAAGAGAAGGCAGGGCCATGGCACCCCCTCCAAGTGGCCAGTCACTCTCCAGAAGGGTGATACTCTCCACCTTTCCTGGAGGGATTGACCTTCTGGGCCTCTGTACCATTTGCAGACCTCCCTCAGCACTCCAGAAGATGGGAACCCCACTCCCATGTCAGGAAAGCTCCTGGTCTTCCCTTTTTTTCTAGCACTTTGGTATGACAGACACCTCAGCTTAACTTGTCCAGAAGCCATCTGCCCCCAGGCCTGCCTGTTAGACACTTAGAGCAAATCCGAGTCACTCCAGACTTGCTCTACCTGAACCCAACCCTCCACGAGGAACCAGGGCTGCTGGGCTGGGGCACAGCCAGCCATAGCTGAGGTGTCAGTATAGCCACGGAGGGTCGTGGTGAAGCCAAGAGTGTGGCCCATAGGAGTGTGGGCCTTGAACAGAGCCATCCCTTTCCAGCCTCTCCTCTTCAGGGGTTGTCTCTGGGGGCAGCCTGGCCTGGCACCCACACCAGACCAGAAGACAACTTGGCACCTGTGTAAATGGTCTTGTGTGGGCCCTGTGGGCAGACTGTGGGCCAGGCCAGCTGAGCAGGGCAGATGGCCCAGAGCCCTCAGGTGCACAAGCGTCCCCAGGCATCCCAGGGTCTTGACCCTCTTAGGTCCATGCCCAGGAACGGCGTGTTTCTGTGACTCCTGAATGGTAGAGCTCACAGAGGGCAGGGCTCCCCCAGAAGTCAGGGTCTGCAGGGCAAGGGCGGGGTTCTCATGTGCTCCCCCCTCTTCCTCAGCCCTACAGGCTTCTCCAAGTTCCATCTTCCTCAGAGACTCTAGGGGACCAGATGATGGCAGCGGCCAGTCTCCTGCCATCAGCAGGACCCCAGGTGAGCTGCCCCCGAGGCCTGTATAACTGCATTTTCTCCCATGCCCAGGGCTCCTGGTGGCTGCCTGAGCGTCAGCACATCCCCTGAACTCCGAGGCCCCTTTCTGTCACCCCATCAGCTCCCAGGGTGCCCCCATGTGTCATAGGGCTTTCCCCCATTTCAAGGTATACCTCACCTCATGTTGCTTGCACCCACTGTGTCTCAGACGTGGAGACTTAGCCTGACCTACAACAGCCCCTGTCATTCCAGGTCAAGGTGACCTTTGAGGATGTGGCCGTGTTCCTCTCCCAGGAGGAGTGGGACCAGCTGGGCCCTGCTCAGAGGGGCCTCTACCGACACGTGATGATGGAGACCTACGGGAACGTGGTTTCACTGGGTAAGGCCACCTCAGGAGGCCAGTCTGTGTCTTTGGGCTTCCCAGGGGTGGGGCCATACAGTGGGGGCCTTGGAGTCTCCTCAGGGTGCTCAGCTCTAGAGGGAGGGTCAGTCCTGTGGGGTGGGGACACTGTAGACAAAAGACCTTCCCTCCCCATGAGCAGGACTTCCAGGAACAAAGCCCAACGTGATCTCCCAGCTGGAACGAGGAGAAGAGCCCTGGGTCCTGGATGGGCATGGGGCCAAGGAGAGCAGGGGCCTGGGCAGTGGCAGTTCAGGTGAGTGAGAGGAGCTGGCCTGCCTGCACTGAGGACTGAGCACGTCCCAGTGGCTGGGAGTCAGCAGGATGGGTTCCACCTGGGGCCTCTCCCAGCAAAGGAGCCTGAGAGTTGGTGAGACTGAGCCAGGAGAGGCCACCTGGAGGTGAGTGCACACTTGTGGTGATTCTGTCCTGCCAGGTCCCTGTCTTTATGCGACGTGCAGAATTTGAAGGTTACTTGGTGCATTTAGAAAAGAGCGAAGCAACCTGTTGTGGAAGGGAGGTTGACCTGACCCTGTGGTGAGGCTGAAGCACACTGTTTGAGGCGACGAGCAAGGGAGCCTGCCGTCCTCATGTCTGTGTAACCTTGTCCTGGGGTCCCACACACTAAGGCATAATACACAAAAAACAAAACAAGATTGAAGCTAAAAGAATTGAGAAAAAGAAGAAAAGTATTGTTTGCAGTTGATATAATTGTCTACTTGGAAAAAGATTGATTCATATTCACAAGAGAGTTTGCCCATGTAGCTAGGGACCAACTCGGTTTTACTTCTATTCATCAGCAACATTCATCCCCAGTTTTATTGAGAGAAAACTTGTCTATTGTCCTCACTGCTGCCCCAGAGGCCCTGTCTCTGACCTAGACTTGTCTCTGCCACCTCACCCCCCAGCACACACTACACGGAGAGCTCACAGCCTCCCGTGTACAAGTCTCTGGTCCTGTGTCTGCAGGATTAGGCTGTGTTGCTGTGTGCCTGACAGGTGGGTGGCCCTGCATTTATTTCTGCTCCAAATGGCCTCTGGGAGCCCAGTGCACAGAGGACTCCAGGGAGGGCAGGGCTCAGGCCGAACTAGGCTGCCATCTGCTGCCATGGCCACAGCAGTGCCTCCTTCAGGGGTACACCTGAGCTGCAGTTTGAGTGGGTTAACATTTGAGTTAACATTTTCCCTTTGGTGGTTGTTTCAGAATGTGAGAACAAGGAAAAATACCAAAATAGTCTGAAACCATTCATTTCAGAGGAAATATCTGTGATTCTGGAGAAAACAGCCCCTGGGTGGATTGATCAAGCAAGTTACAAATCTGAACAGAGCTTCTGTCTGAGTCCAAGCCCCATGAGCCCCCCTGAAGTTCATGTCTCCAGCCCAAGCAAGACGCTCACTCAGCAGCCGGCTGCTCCTGGAGGGGAGAGACCCTACAAGTGTATTGAGTGTGGGAAATGCTTCAGCCGGAGCTCCCACCTTCTCCAGCATCAGAGGACCCACACAGGGGAGAAGCCCTATGTGTGTGGGGTATGTGGGAAGGCCTTCAGCCAGAGTTCAGTCCTCAGCAAACACAGGAGAATCCACACGGGTGAGAAGCCCTATGAATGTAATGAGTGTGGAAAGGCGTTCCGCGTCAGCTCAGACCTTGCTCAGCATCACAAGATCCACACAGGAGAGAAGCCCCACGCGTGTCTCGAGTGCCGCAAGGCCTTCACTCAGCTCTCGCACCTCATCCAGCACCAGCGCATCCACACAGGGGAGCGGCCCTACGTGTGCCCACTGTGTGGAAAAGCCTTCAACCACAGCACAGTACTGCGCAGCCACCAGCGGGTGCACACGGGGGAGAAGCCACACGAGTGTGCAGAGTGTGGCCGGGCCTTCAGTGTGAAGAGGACGCTGCTGCAGCACCAGCGGGTACACACCGGGGAGAAACCCTACTCCTGCAGCGAGTGCGGGCGTGCCTTCAGTGACCGCTCGGTCCTAATCCAGCACCACAACGTGCACACTGGTGAGAAGCCCTATGAATGTGGGGAGTGCGGCAAGGCCTTCAGCCACCGCTCCACGCTGATGAACCATGAGCGCATCCACACCGAGGAGAAGCCCTATGGCTGCTACGCCTGCGGCAAGGCCTTTGTGCAGCACTCCCATCTGATCCAGCACCAGCGGGTGCACACCGGTGAGAAGCCCTACGTGTGCAGTGAGTGTGGCCACGCCTTCAGCGCCCGCAGGTCTCTGGTCCAGCATGAGAGGATACACACAGGTGAGAGGCCCTTCCGCTGCACACAGTGTGACAAGGCGTTCAGCCTGAAAGCCACCCTGATCGTGCACCTGAGGACACACACGGGTGAGAGGCCCTACGAGTGCAGCCGCTGTGGAAAGGCCTTCAGCCAGTACTCTGTGCTCATCCAGCACCAGAGGATCCACACAGGCGAGCGGCCCTATGAGTGTGGCGAGTGCGGGCGCGCCTTCAACCAGCATGGGCACCTGATCCAGCACCAGAAGGTGCACCGGAAGCTGTGACCTCGGCGGCCACAAGCGACCCTCACACTTGGGCACATAGAGTCCAACTCAGGAGAAGCTTCTTTGAGCTCCACAGGAAGCCCTGTAGCAGTTGAGGGTCACAGAATAACTGCAGGGAGAAGCACTGAGTGTGTTACCCCTGGGGAAGAATTTCAGAGGGTGCCTGTTGTATTTTGTTGGACATCTTGATGTCACATTGAAGAGGAATCACAGCTGTAGTGAATTTTGGTAAAGACAGCCATAGTTCTTTAACATCATACAGTTTGTTTGAAATGAGAAACTTAAGGAAATTAAGGCATAAGGATTGCTGTCACAATAAAATTTGCTTACATCCCACACAAAGGTTTCTTCTTAGGACATTTCATGCCTTCCCTGAATACACTGATTAATTACTGCACTGGGAATTAGAATGTTGGACTATTTTCAGTATCTTGTTAAGCCACTAATGTGCTATGTGGATGAAAAGATATTAAAAAGTGTCACCAAGTAGCATCATGTATTATGGCTGGAAATCCCAAGAGTGTGAAACCTCCTGTTTTGTATGGGGGGGGGAGGAGGACCTTAGTGAGAAATTACATAAATTTAGAAAACCTTTTATCTGGGGCTTTAACTTTATTCAACATCAGAAGGGATGTCCTAACTTTTTAGTAAAAATTTCGTCTCAAAAATGGGTCTTTTCCTCAAAACTCACCCTTGTGACCAACAGGCCCTGTGCCCCAGGAATTGTGGGATATCTCAGGTGTTTGGGCAGAGGTGGGGAGCTCCACTCAGGTCTAGACATCTAGTTGCTACTCAGTGAGTGCTGCTACACACTGGTGTTTCCAAAAGATGTTACTAAAAAGACTTCTTTGGTGCCTATTTTTATTTATTTATTATTTTTTAAAACATATCTTTATTGATTTCAGAGAGACGAAAGGAGAGAGGGGGAGAGAGAAAGAGAGAAACATCAGTGATGAGAGTCATTGATCGGCTGCCTCCTGTACGCCCCTGATTGGGGATCGAGCCCGCAACCCAGGCATGTGCCCTGACCAGGAATTGAACCCCGATCGCCTGGATCCTAGGTCAATGCTCAGCCACTGAGCCACGCCCAGCCGGGCTATTTTTATTTTTTTAATTAAGTTTAAAAATTTTTAATCCTCCCCCAAGGACATTTTTTCTGTTTCTTTTCAGAGAGAATAGAAGGGAGAGAGAGAGACATCGATGTGGGAGAGACATGGATGGGTTGCCTCCCGCACGTACCCCAACGGGGGCCGAGTATTGAGTCTGCAACTAAAGTACGTGCCCTTAATCGGTATTGAAGCCAAGAGCCTTCAGTCCACAGGTCAACACTAACCACTGAGCCAAACCAGCTAGGGCGGTGCCTATTTTTAAAAAAATTCTCAAATTCAGATAGCTCTTTTTCCTATCAAATATTTATATTCCTAAGTTTGAGGGACTTTTTTTTTAATTCCTGGTTCCAAGAGAGTCTATTGTCCACTGTCATATACTCTAATGAATCGGGCTTATTGATAATTTTTTAAAGTTTTTTCTCTAAAATGTTACCCATTTCTGAGGAAAAATTAAGCACTAGGATGTTGGTCCTTAAGTCCACAGCAATATGCTGTGATGCAGGTAAAAGCTTGTTTCCCCCTGTGCAGACCCTGCTGAGGAGCTGATCACAGGAGTTACCGTCAGTACCACAAAGGGCAGCTCCAGCCCTCGCTCGTGGAGCCCATAGCCAACCTCTGACTCGGTGGTTGTCACCCACAGCCCCCCACTACTTGGCACAAGTCCTGATCCTGTGGGAGAGTTAGAATAGGAACTAGTCGTGTCACCGGCGGGAAGAGAATAACTTCAGTTAGGTTGTGCTGCTCAGCATCAGGATACCATTCTGCCTTTTCCTGATCAGCCTCGATGGACCCCTTGGTGAGCACCAGGCTTGGTGTCCCTGGAGCTGGGAGGTGAGCACAGTGCCTTCTCCCTGGGGAGGCTCCCTGGCTGTGCATTTCTGCCCCAGGAGCAGGAGGTAGCACACCACCTGCTGGACCATATGGTGGTCATATGAAAGGCCAGAGTGACTTATGGGGTCCCCCTCACCCTGATAACTGCCTTCTCAGCCATTACTTTCCAGCTCTGACTTGTCAGCAGCATTCAACACTTATTTTGTAGTCTTCACATTTTATGTATTTAAATCTCTTTATAGTATTTTTCTTTACAACTAGCAAGAATTTGACAGTTCTTTTCAAATTTTCTATTATTGGAGAAACACTTTAGTGCACCTGAAACTCATTGCTGTGTAACTGTGTATAACCTGACATTCCAATAAAAAAGCAATGAGTGGGACATAACCTGTGGGTTAAGGAAAAGCAGTAACTTTGGCATAAGGATCTCCTACAAGTAGGGAAAATACAACCAGGAATGCCTGGAAGAGGCTCCTGTGTCAATTCTAAACAGAAACAATGAGGAATGGGTATTCTGTAACTCCCAGAGCTGTGAAGGTGTGAGGACAGGTGCTTGTGTGCTGGCTGCTGCTGTCACTATTCAATCTGACTTACCAGGTGTGGGGACGCAGTGCACGGCCCACCTCTGGAGGAAGGTGACTGCACCAGGACTCAGGCAGGTGCCAGGCGGCCTCAGGCAGCCCTGAGAGAGGCAGGAGCACTCGAGGACAGGCAGGGGAAGCTAGACCACCAAAGGCAGGCCGCTCCATGCCGAGGGCCTGCTGGCAGAGGTCCAGGATGATCTTTTCCACACTTGGAGTTGGCCCAGGCCCTGGGGCCAGTGGGGGTCTGTACTACAGCCTACCTGGGTGAGTTTGGGAAACACTTGGTTTCATGTGTAAAAGTTCCCAAGCTGAGAAATGAAGGTGATGGGTTGTGGAGTTCAGGGGTCCCCAGGACTTGCCCTCACTTCTAGCACCAGTCACAAGTTCAGAGGTCACGAACATCACCCTCAAGTACTTTGCTCCACTGACTTAGAACTCACCTTGAAAGCTGATACACACATGATTACAATGTGTTACGGGTAACAGATATTAAAGTCAGTTGGCCAAGGGATCTCATGGGGCAGAACCCAGGAAAAGTACCAAATGCAGAGGTTCTGCTGTCTTCTCCCTGGTAAGTCAGTCAGCTTTTCCTTCCTGGCACTAATGTGTAACAATGTGCACAGGGTATTGCCATCCAAAGAAGCTCATCTGATCCTTGGCATCCAGAGTTTTTATTGGCTTGTTGATGTCAACGCAGCTGACCTCAGACTCCAGCCTCTCCTGAGTTCTCTCCATAAATCACACTTAGCAGACTATCTGCCCTGGCCCTTGGCTGTAGGTAAACACTATTATCAGGCAAAAGTCAGGTTAGTCCTTTCTGCAAACAGGGTTAAGAGTGGGTGGAAGCCCAGGCCTGCCTCCAACTGCTCTATGACTTCAATCCACTTCCCTCCAGGTTCTCATGCATTTCATAGGGTCGCTGTGAAAATGAAATGAAATCACAGCAGGAAGATCAGCCCAAGACTCAGTTCCTGTGTGACTTGTGAGCTCACAGGACTCTGCACAGGTACAGCCACCAGGGAGCTTCTCACCCCCATGAGGGGGGCACACAAACATCCCAGTGGATCTAGGAGAGGCTCAGTCTCCAGCTACAGGAAGCATTCAGAAAATGGACACTCTGGGTTGGGGCATGGAGGCCACACAGCCACCTCCACGGGGACTCAAGGGGGGCATACTTGGACTGGCCCAGTTATAAGTATAGAGGTGGGAGGGCCCAGATCCAGCTCCCAGTGACTCTGGCTCAGATCTGATGTCCTGCCTGGGTCTCTGTCCAGGGATATGCACAGGGTCAGTCACAGACCTAAGTCATGGTCACCAAGCACGCACACTATAAGCATGACCCCACCTGGCCTCACCATGCCCATCAGGATAGGTGCCATCACCTCTCACTTGGGGATGCTGACTCATGATGGGCCAAGGGCTTCAGCTGTCTGAGCCTCTGACCCCAGCAACTGATCTCCTGACTTGGAGCCATCACAGTTAATCAACAAGCAGCCACAGTCTGGGACGACGGCACTCCTGAAGGCTCTCTTGTGAGCTGAGAGACTCACTTGCAGCCCAGGTACGTGCCCGTGACTGGGAATCGAACTCAGTCCACCAGACGCCCAGGGGTGACCACAAGATGGCCCAGTGGAAACATCTGGAACCCATGGGACCCTTTGTCCATGTTGTTCCCCTCCTTAGATGGGCTTGATTTTGACCCTTGTGGAAGTGTCACCAACTCATTTTACAAGACCTCTTGAGCCAAAAGGCAGACCAGAAAACTTGTCAAACCATGTTCTCTAGTTTTGCACAATGAAAACAGCCAGCATTTTCCTCTCCCAGGTAAGTTATACCATTAAATACGCTGCTTCAGACTGTGCCAGCCCACCATCCCCACCCACCTCTCCAGCCCTCCCACTCGGGGCTTTGGTGCTCCCTTCAAGGAGGCCACAGTCACTTGGGTGCCACTGGCTCCAGGGAACATCCGGGCAGATGGGATGATGGGTTCTTTCTGTTGTTCTTAACCCTCACCCGAGGGTATTTTTTTCCATTGATTTTTAGAGAGAGTGGAAGGGACGGAGGGAGGGGGAGAGAGAAACATCTATGTGAGCAAGGCACATGGATTGGTTGCTTTCTGCACATGCCCTGACCGGTGCTGGGGATCGAACTTGCAGCCCAGGTACGTGCCCGTGACTGGGAATCGAACCCATAACCCTTAGGCGCACAGGCCGATGCTCTAACCACTGAGCAACACCAGCCAGGGCCAGAGCAGGGGTTCTTCATAAACAACCCAATGGAAGAGTGTCTCGACCAAAAGCAGTGTCGGGCATGATTCCCACTGAAACCAACCTGAAGATTCCCGGTCAAGGGCATATACCTGGGCTGCAGGTTCGATCCCCAGCCCCAGTCAGGTGTGTGGAAAGCAACCAATTGATCTGTCTCTCTCATGTCGATGCTTCTCTCTCTCTCTCTTAAAATCAATGCAAAAAATATCCTTGAGTGAAGATTAACAAAAAACAAACAAAACCATAAAACCCATGAGGAAAACCTTCAGAACCTTGAATTTAGCAATGATTTCTTTGATACAATACCCAAAGCACAGGCAACAAAAGAAAAAATAGATAAATTGAACTTCATAAAATTAAAACCTTTTGTGCAAACATTATCAAGAGAGTAGACAGACAACTCACAGAATGAGAAAAAATATTTGCAAATCATTTATCTGATAAGGATTTACTATGCAAAATATATAAAGAACTATACCTCAGCAGCAAAAAACAAAATAACCCAATTTTATAATGGGCAAAGGAACTGAATGGCCTATAGGCACCTGGAAAGATGCTCAACATCATTAGTCATTAGAAAAATGCAAAGCAAAACGCAGTGAGGCATCACGTCAAACCCACTGGGACAGCTATTACAAACACGTGCTGGCAAGGGTGTAGAGAAGCCGGAAGCTTCGTGCATTGCTAGTGGAGATGTAAAAATGGTTCAGCAACTGTGGAAAACAGTTTGGCTGTTCCTCAGGAAGTTAAACATACCCATCGACTTCACTCCTAGGAGTATACCAGGAAGTACTGCAAGTAGGATTCAAACAGGTAGTTCATAGCATCATGCACACTAGTCAAAAGGTAGAAACACCCAACTGTCTATCGATAGAAATGTATAAACAAAATGTGGTGTCTACAAATGATGGTATATTATTCTGCCATGAAAAAGAGTAACGTTCCAATACAGGCTACAACATGGATGAACCTTGAGGACGTGTATTATACTAAGTGAAATAAGCCTGACATAAAAGGCAAATCTTGTATGACTCTGCTTATATAGGTACCTGGAATAGGTAAATTCCTAGAGACAGAAAACAGAACGGAGGTTGCCAGTGGCATGGACAAGGGGAGGGTGCAGTTACTATTTAGTGTGTATGAGTTTGGGATAATAAAACAGTTCTGGAGATAGGATGGTTACACAACATTGTGAATGTCTTTAATATACTGAATTGTACACCTTAAATGGTTAAAATAGTAAATTTTATGTGTATTTTAGCACAATAAAAAAAGCAATCATCCACTCTATTAGGTACACAAAAAAATATGAAGTTAATTTTTAAAAACTTACTGTATGAACATATGTGAAAGTCTTTCCAGTGTGAATTTTCTGGGTGCTGCCATGAGAAGCCCAATGGTATTTTCCTTAAAATACTTAGACACCTCTGAAAGTGTTCTTCAGTGTCTGAGAGGAAACACACTAAATCAGCTGTGATGAATTCTGTTTTTCTAAAAAGGAGAGATTACAGTTGCCTCTCCCTTTTGCTTGCCTTTCTCACTTCCTCTAAAATGAGCATGCACTGCTTTGGTTTAAGAGTTTTTTAAAATTAGGTAGAAATGCCTTTCACATGTGACAACACTGCATGGCCAATATATAATGGACGGGTGGGTTGTGGGAAGTGCACGGTATAACTCATGGGCCTCCAGCATCACCCGGAGAAGTGTTTCTGGAGGTGGACCTCTGGTGCTGGGCCGTGTTGGAGCTGCACTCGTAGGGCTTCCCCCAGTGTGGATCCACCAGTGCTGGGTAAGGTAAGTGCCCTGGCTGAAGCCCTTCTTGCAATCGCTGCTCTTGTACAGCTTCTCCCCGCGAGCGACCTCTGGTGACGGGTGAGTCTGGAGCTGTGTGGACGGCCTTCCCGCACTCACCACACGGGTAGGGCTTCTCCCCCTCGTGGATCCTCTGATGCTGGATGAGGTGTGTGCTCTGGCTGAAAACTTTGCCACAGTCATTACATTCATAGGGCTTCTCTCCAGTGTCGCTTCTCTGTTCAACAAGTTTGGTTTTTTGAATGAAGGCTTTCTCACATTCATTACATTTATAGGGTTTCTCTCCAGTGTGAATTCTCTGGTGTTGGATAAGATTAGAACTTTGAGTAAAGCCTTTGCCACATTCCTTACACTCAAATGGCTTCTCTCCAGTGTGGGTCCGACGATGGCGGGTAAGGACTGAGCTGTCACTGAAGGCTTTCCCACACTCGGCACACTTGCAGGGCTTCTCCGCAGTGTGGATCCTCCAATGCTTCATGATGTTGGGCCTCTGGCTCAACGTTTTTCTGCATGTGTCGCACCAGTAGGGGATCTCCCCCAAGTGCATCTGTTGGAGATGGATGAACTCACAGCTCTGGCTGAAGGCTTTCCCACACTCATCACACCTGCAGGGCTTCTCTTGACTGTGAAGCTGCTGGTGCTTGATGAGGTTAGCACTGTACCTGAAGGCTTTCCTACAGTAACCACAAAGATGCAGTTTTTCCCCAAAAGGAATTTTCTGATCTCCTTTAACTACTAAATTTGCACTGAAGATTTCCCCAGAATCATGAACTATATTTGTGTGTTTTTTGACCTGTGTACACACTTATGTTATTGAGATACGATCTCTGTTCAAAACTTTGCTCGCATATATTGCATTTGTAAGGTCTGTGATCAGGGACAGGGCTTAACCCCAACTTGAGGCTTCTCCCAGACTCCTGGCTTCTCTCCCTGTTGGTCAGTGTGACTGGACTAGGACCTCTCTGCTCCATGGGCTTGTCCTGGCTCTCCTCTGGCTCCCAGGACATGCTTACAGGCTTCTCCTGGTGCAGGTCCCTCGGCAACAGTTCCTGAGTCAGTCCAGTTCTGCCCCACCAAGCATTCCCCTGAAGTCAACTCCTTGTACTCAGTCCTGGTCCCGTAAGCTGAAACAACAAACAGAACATCTCAGGGAGACCTGTTCCCACTCTGGAAGGAAGGTACGAAGACACTGCTGACCACCTGTGCAGTACAAATTACATCATCTCCAAAGTCACAACACCTTCCAGAGATAAGAGCCTGGTGCTCAGAGGCTTGAAAATCTATCCCAGGGCCAGTCACATGGCAATGCAAGCACTTCACTCAGATCTGATCAGCACCCATCCCCTCCTCCCTGCCTTCTGCCTCCAAAATCTGCCAGAGTAGGATGGTTCGATGCCTGTCCTCATTACAAAGAGAAAGGAGATGAAGGCTTCATAGCACCATGGAAAACAGAGAAAGGAGGGGCCCAAAAGTCTTGGAGGGCATCTGAAAGACAATGAAATTAAGGCGAAGTAAGTCTAAGGCCACCTAAGTATACCCCAAATCCATGCTAAGAAAACCAGTTGCCTGCTCTGGCTGGTGCGGTTCAGTTGGTTAAGCATTGTCCCATGCACCAAAGGGTCTCAGGTTCAATTCCCTGTCAGGCCACGTACCGAGGTTGCAGGGTGGGTCCCTAGTAGGGGGCGTGCAGGAGGCAGCTAATTGATGTTTCTCACATCTGTGTTTCTCTTTCTCTTTCTCTCTCCCCCCCTCACTCTCCCTTCCTCTCTCTTTAAAAAAAATCAATAAGCCCAGCCAGTATGGCTCAGTGATTGAGTGTTGACCCATAAACCTGGAGGTCATGGTTCGATTCTTGGTCAGGGCACATGCCTGGGTTGCAGGGTCAGTCCCCAGTAGGGGGCATGCAGGGGGCAGCTAATCAATGACTCTCTCTCATCATTGATGTTTCTATCTCTCCCTCTCCCTTCCTCTCTCTGAAAATCAATTAAAAAAACAACAACAACAATCAATAAAAACATATTTTAAAAAAAGAAAACCAGTTGCCACCCTAGGAGGGCAGAGGGCCAAGCCCATGCCAGCCATGGAGGAGGAGGGCAGAGATCACAGAGGCCGGGGTCCCTGGCTCTCCTCAGCAGGCCACTCTCATTCCCAGGGCTCTTTGCAGGGGTACCAGAGGCCACTGGTGAGCCACCACCAGTACCTTAAACTCAATATGCCACACAGAATGCTTCCTGATGCCTTCAGACCTCCCCCCTTCTCTCCTTGACTAAGCACTCATGTACTCCACAGGCAGGAACACATCCACCAAAAATGTGTTTTCTGCGAGCCAAGAGAAACATAACCACCCCAAAATGGGGACAATCGAATGTCCTCCGCAATAGAATAGAAAATAACTTGTACTTCATGACAGAATACTGTATAGCAATGATGCAGAACAAACTCCATGCAACACAGCGACCTTCCCAATGCTCAGATGCCCACATGCATCCAGCAGACAGAGCCCAGGACTCAGAGGGAAAGGACCTTGGGGCTCAGCAGGAAATTAGGAAGGAGGCCCATGGGCTCCTGGGGAACCAGAAATGTTCTGTATATTGATCTGCAGGATTTTTTTTAAATCCTCACCCAAGGAAATTTTTTCATTGCTTTTCAGAGAGAGGAAGGGGGAGAGAGAAGGGGAGAGAGAGAGATAGAAACATCGATGTGAGAGACACATCGACTGGTTGCCTCCTGCTCGAGCGTCGACCAGGGCCCAGGACTGAGCCTGCAACCGAGGTACGTGCTCTTAGCTGGAATTGAACCCGGGACCCTTCAGTCCACGGGCTGACGCTCCAACCACTGAACCAAACCAACTAGGGCTGCAGGATCTTTTTTTGTAAAAATATATTGAGCTGTATAAAATCAGGGTTTGTTCCATTTCTGTAAGTATATGTATTCAAATATGCAAATTTACAAAAGAGAAATTCAAGTCCTCTGAGCCAGGAGTTCCTTCCTAGGACATCATCAAGATGGGCAGCACTGTCCACGGCAATGAAACTAGAGAACACCCTCCCTGCTGGCACTTCCAGTGACAGCAGCAACTGAGACTCCTGTGCACAGAAATGGACACGCACTGAGTGACAAGCAAGGATTACCAAGTCTAGGTACGGACCAGGAAGGGCTAGAATGGGGACAGCAGGTGCAGACTAGAGCACACGTATGTCCGACTGCTGATGTGTCCACTCTCACTTCCCTGTTCCGGTCTGGAACTGTCCGGACAGGGGGATGAAGCAACTAGCCCATCTGACCCCACTTAATCACTGTGTTGAGCTCTCAGGGGCAGGGCTTCCTGGGGTCCCACAGTTCACCCAAATGCCCTTCCCTCTTCTCCTCCGCCAGCACTGCCCCTCTCACCTCTCACTATCCAGAAGATTCAGCTGAGAATTACCCCACTGAGGAGGAGGCTGATGGAGGTGACCTGGGTTTCAGCAGAGGCTACTTCCAGGGTTGCTGTGCTGGCCCAGAGACATCTTCCCCCAAGCTCCTCAGTCATTAGCTGCACACCCTGGACCCCACAAATGTTAGTTCAGTGACTGGTAAGAGAACCAGCCCCTCACACACCTGAGTCATTGACTCCCAGCCACTCCCTCCTCTCGGCACCCTGCATGTCCAGGACCCATGGCTTATCCCCTGGCTCCAACCGTGTGATCACTCCAGGCTTGGAACCTGCAGGTCCAGCTCCTGGGAAGGAGACAGGGCCTGGGGTTGGTGTCAAGGACATGGGGTTGGGGGCCTGCAGGAGCAGGGAAAGCGCAGGTGTGAGGGAGATGGGAAGTCAGGGCACTCTGGGGGGCTGCAGGTGGTTATGGAGATGGAGATCTGAGCACAGGGAACAACAGCGCAGGGGCCCCTCCCCACAGTACTACACAGCGTCCCCTGAGAACTGGCTGCCTTGGGCCTGGAGCAAAGACAGTCTATCCAGGAGCTCAGAGGAGGGAGAGGCTGATCCAGAACCACTGGGCCCTTCCTTGGCACAGATCAAACCTGTCTCTGGGCCCAGGGGTGAGGCCTCCAGCCCAGCCCCTGCTGAGCCCTCAGTGCCCAGGGCTATTCCCTGAGCTGTGTTCTGGCAAGGGGCCTTACCCAGGAAGACCAGGTTCCTATAGGTCTCCAGCATCACATGTCTATAGAGACCCCTCTGAGCAGGGCCTAGACGCCCCCACTCCTCCTGGGAGAGGAGCACAGCAACATCCTCGAAAGTCTCCTTGGCGTGAAAGGACAGGGGCTTGACAGGGGCTGCTGCAGGACCAGGTGAGGCTCAGACTGGGTAGCAGAGGCGTGCTCGGCACACAGCAGAGGGTGACTCCAGGCCTGATCCCCCAGCATGGCCTCAGCAGGTGGTCTGACTATTTGGCTACTGAGGCAGCTAACTCTGGGAGACTGAGGAAGTCCCAAGGTCACCCCTCCTCTGCTCAGCACCCAGACCAGAGATGTCTGAGGGTGTTTGCTGAGGCAGAGCAGGAGGGGAAGCCCTAGGTGGAGACCTCATACGTCCCAGGAGGATGGATGCTCACCTGGGGTGTGGTGGACAGGTGCAAAGCTGGCATTATGTGGTTCCCTGGACTTTCCAGGGTGGTAGCTGAGGGAAGAGAGAGGACTCACGGAGGCCCAGCCTGGCATCTCCTTCAGGTAGCTTCATGGCCCCGCTCGTCCCATGCAACACAGCTGGCTCCCGGGAACCTCCTTCCCCACCGGGACTCCCCGGTCGCCTGCCCCTCCTCCTTGGAACACTAAGTTATCTCATGCGGGGCAGAAACACTCATTCCATTTACGTGAAAGACAACACGATAGGGGTGAGGAAGAAAAGGAAGCAAAACAATGAACAGAAGGCGCACAGAGCAACAGTCAAGTGCAGAAATAGAAACAGGAGACTCGTGGAAACAGGCCCCCGGGTGAGCAACGGTGAGAAGTGAAAGGGTTAGGCTCACCTGTGAGAAACACAAGCCCTTCGATTAAATACGTGAAATACACCCACGTAACCTGAAATAAAACAATACAGACAGGATGAATCTAAGACACACCAAGCAAACACTAATGAAAATAAAGCAGCTCTTGTTTTTTAAATCCTCACCCGAGTACATGCTTTTTAAAAAGAGAGGAAGTGAGAGGGGGAGAGAAACGTTGATCAGTTCCCTGGGGCACACGGCACACACCCCAACCAGAGATCAAACCCACAACTCAGGTATGTGCCCGAGCTGGGAATCAAACCTGTGACCTTTCAGTATAGGGGCCAACGCTCCACCCACGGAGCCGCAGCAGCTGGGGCTAAAGCCACTCTCCACTGCAGAGGCACATGGGCCTGCCCGCCGCGGGCCGCCCTGATCCCGCTCGACCAGCTGTGTTCGCCCTCAGGGCCCTGGGTCTGCACTCTGTGCTGGCGTCCCCCCTCCACATAGTGTTGCTGAGCTTAATATGAGTTACTGCGTGTAGTTTAGGGATATTTACATCAATCAAAACAGAGCTGAAAGCAAAAATCATTAATAGGAACAAAAATGAACACTGCATTATTAATAAAAGGAAAAACCTGCCCTGGCTGGTTTGGCTCAGTGGTTAGAGCGTTGGCCCACAGACTGAAGGGTTGAGAGTTCAATTTCCAGTCAAGGGCATGCACCTTGGTTGCAGGCTGATCCCAGCCCCGGGTCGGGGCAAACAATCGATGTGTCTCTCTCACATTGATGTTTCTGTCTCTCCCTCTCCCACTCTGTCTAAAAAAATCAATGGAAAAAAATCAATGGAAATCCTCCATTGAGAAGAGAAGAAAAACCCCACCAAAAAGCTGTCATTACAAATGTGTGTATCCACCAACAAGCTCAAAATGTAGAAAGGAAAGCCAACCAAACAACAAGAGGAGCTGGCCACCCTCCCCGGAGTGACAGTGCTGGTCATCCGCCCCTCAGGAACCTGTAATCAACAAACACTTTTACCTAAAGCACAGAGAATACACATTTTTTTCAAGATGTACGTCGAATATTATTTTTTTTAAAAACCACATATACCAGGCAACAGAGGAAGTGTCAACAAATTTCAAAGGCTGCATCATTTGGCAAAACATTCTCTGATCCTACTGTTGTTATACTAGAAACACATGATTTTAAAAGTACCCCCTCCAAGAAAACCATAAAAATGGAAAAGAGGGTGGAAATGCCAACAAGGCTCCCTAAGGAAAAATGTGCCTCATTAACGTACTTATTTGAGGATGAGAGGCTGAAATAAATGATCTAAACATTCAACAAGAATCAGATACAGAATAAGAAAGTAAATCAAGAAAAGATGATCAGCCCTGGTCGGTTCGGCTCCATGGTTGGAGCGTCGGCCGAGGACTGAAGGGTCCTGGGTTTGATTCTGGCCAAGGGCACGTGCCATGGTTGCAGGCTCTGAATGCAGGAGGCAGTCAACTGATGTGTCTCTATCACATCAGTGTTTCTCTCTCTCTCCCCTCCCTCCTACTCCCTCTGAAAAAAAGCACACATACACACAAAATGGAAAAAAAATCCTCAAGTGAGGATTTGAAAAAAAAGAAAGAAAAAAAAGAACATAATCTCAACAAGAGAATACTCTCAGCATTGGTTCCTTGAAAATGCTAATAAAACACAAACATCCAGCAAGTTCAATGTGAGGGCCTGGGGGGCTGCAGTGAAGAGAAGGGACAGGAAATGCTTTTAAGAACAGAAAAGGGGCCTAAGTACATACCATACACAGCTGTGGTTCTCAGGGTAGTCCAAGCCCAAAAAGAAATACAAGCTATGAGGACTGGAAGAGAACGGACAAGATCACCACGGTTAGAGAGCCAGAAGGTCGTCCACAGAGAAGGTCCGAGAGCATCAACCCACTGTCGGAATGGCATGAGCTCGACAAGACTGCCACCCCTTCAAGGACAGCACACGAGTAATTAGTACCACTCTGACGCAGTCGCAAACCAGATACCAGAACCTGGCACTCACAACAGCTACAAACACTACTCTATGGCACCTAAGAAGAAGGCTAACAAAAATATGGATAAAATGATAAAACTTCACTGAAGAACATTAAAAAGACCTACGGAGACACAGACAATGCTCATAAACAGGACTCAATATCACTGACTCTCCTCCAATGAATCTATTAATTCTGTGAAGTCAATACTACAACAGATCATGAAATCTGCCCAAAATGCCTAAGTATTACAAGAGTAATGATCCAAGATTAACTACAACAATGCCAAAAAAGCAGTAAGGTAGTCAGAGACCTGCACTCCAAATGTCAAGACTTACTGCAGTCTGTGGGCACAGAGTTGGGTGTGAGCCTGGGAGGAAGATGACAGGACATTACAGAATGCCCATTAGGGACACACCTGCCACATTAACAGCCACACAGTATTCACCAAATGGTGCTGGCAAAACCCACTTCCATGGGAAAGTCAAGCTCCCTGCCTTCTATGGCACACAAAAATATATTTCAAGATGGGTGAAGACCCAAGTATTTTAAATGTTCATAGCTATTAGAGAAATATTCAATTTTACTCCATCAAAAAAACTTCTGTATGAGAGACTACAAAATTAAAAGACAAGCTGTCCAGTGAAAGGATATTCACATACTCAACAAAAGATAAATATACAGAATATATTTAAAATACCCAGAAAAGACTATTTAAAAAATAAACACAGGCCTGGCTGGTGTGGCTCAGCCGTCGAGGGCCGGTGGTTCAGTTCCCGGCAGGGGCGGCCCAGCGGCGACTCTCATCGTTTATGTCTCTTTCTCCTCTCCCTTCCTCTCTCTGAAATCAATAAAGACAAATAAATAAAAGAAAAACACAGGATGCGACCTGATAAATTGCAAATAAAGAAATAAATTTTCCAGTAAACATCTGAAAAGATTTTCAGTGTCAGTAACAAGGAGGGAAATGCAAATTAAAGACAGACTTCTCTCCCCATAGATTAGAGAAATAAAGGGTGAGCAAAAGTAGGTTTTCAGTTGTTCGTGTGGAGAATAGGGCAATAACTGATAAACAGCGACGCGGGGGCACTGAAAATC